GGCTATGATAGGGAAAGTTTTCAATCTTCTTCGTAGGGTGGGAGTGGGAGTGATGAGAGAGTCTGTAGAATATTGCTAAGGTAATGAAGTACTTACTAATTACCTTTGATAGATTTGTCATGCTACATTTCCATGGAGTGCGCACTTAGGTGGGAGTGTAATCAGCTGACCATAACATTGGATATACATGTATATACATGGAAACATGGAAAAATTGTGTAACGCAAGAAAACAAAATTAAAGTATGCAAGGTTGGCTGATATATTCACGAGGAAGTAGTAAAGCACCGATACGACGATATAGGGCTGTTGTAATGACCTGTGGGAGTCCTAACTCCTCGCTAGCATCTCTGTGTTTCCACAAACACCATCCCTATCTTGTCTCCCTTTCTTTTTATACGATCCATATATGCACTCTTTTTTAATCCGCAGGATTTTTAATTTACTTGTAGCTCCTTTATCTTGTGACGGTCATTTTTACTGCATGCACGTAGTTGCCTCTCTATGACCCCTCCAGATAAGTCATGTCCCTCGCAAGGCTTTTCGTGTGGGGTCTCCTCCGAAACTCTCTCGTTATCCAGTGGCTCTTATTCCTGGACAGTTCTCTGACTACTACCATAGGTTTGCACTGGAGTTGAAGTATGACAATTAATAACCATTCCAGTAATGGTTACAGGGTTAGGCTTAAATGTGTGGGCCTTCACAGCTCCCCAAAAGTGTTAACTTCATGTAAGTTGGTGGACTGTTGACTTTTCGTTCGCTTAACAAGCTCTGACTTTAGTTGTTTAAATTTTCCTTTCTATGATGCTATATTGTACATGAGTAACTACATGTAAGCAGCAGTATAAGTCTATCATAGTAAACTGTATGTGTCTGTCAGCTATATCTGTGTTTTATTTGTTATGTTCCCGACAGTAGTACTCAGTAGTTGCTTCCTCCATGGCCTTGAATGACAGCACAATCAGGCATATCTTGTTCTTGCGTGGTGCAGTGCTAAAATATACGGTGATATACACATTGATCGTAAGCCTTATAGCCTTCATCCTTTTCTCCGAAACATGCCAGATCATGCGGCTTAGCACCAGGAGCTCCACTAGCCATTCCGACACTGCCGACTGACATTAGTCTGTTGAAAGCCTCACACCGTGGGTGATGGAATGAACCGTGGTTGTACATGTGACTCACATGTACCTCCACTGGGTGTATTGCTTCAAGCCATTTCTTGGGATTTGCCAGTGTGCTTGCCCCGTGATGAGCCATCTTGTAATGAGAGTTTCTGAGAAAATCTTTGTGTGATTCGGCTAGAGCTTTTGCAGTGTCTCCCTCCATATCAGCAGTGAAGAGAAGTGAGGATTTGCACGTTTTACAAGATAGTTTCATGAGCATTCCTCTCTCATTCTTATTGCGTGATTCAAGGTTTCCTTGGAGAAAGGTGAAAGTTATATCTTGATTGTTACAAAAGTCATGCTCCTTCATTTCTCTACTCTTGTCTGCAACCACTTTGGCATTGGCATCTGTTATCGAAGATTCATAATCATCTAGTTTACCACCAACAATAGTTTCTACTACTACATTTCCCGAAATGGAGTCTCTAACAGTGTCAATCAAGCTCTTGTGGTCCTTGTCAGCGTGCGATATTAGAATTTTTAATTCTGTGGCACCAAAAAGTAGAGAAGACATAAGATTCTGAAATTCTTTCTTGTCCAAAACGTTTCCCCCAAGACTACCGCAATCAAAAATAATAGCGTTCTTCCCTCCATTGCATTTGATAACGTTGCAGTCTCCTTGACCTATTGGTAGAGTGAACACCTCAACAAGAGGCTTGCCATTGGGTGGTTCGTTTGAGACTGACGTACTCCTTTTATCAACATCAAGCTTGTGAAGGGGTAACATAATCGCCTTGGATCGGTTAACTTGGTCATCCTTTAGGCATGCCAGCACTAAAGAGTTTCCTGGTGTCTGTCCGTTCAAATAATTTGCATTGCACTTTGCCTTTCCTGGAGTCCAACTGTCACATGTACCCTTTAGTGGATCTGAATCTTGACTTGGACTTGTATTTTTTGTTGAACCTTCTAGTTTTTGTTTCTTTTTTGGAGGTTCATCATCGTTCATGATGAATGCCGCACTCCCACAGTTTGGGTTCCTTCCTCCGTTTAGCCCCAGACTACACATGTCTCTTTCAATCTTGACAGCAGCTAGCATCTCACGGCATGCCTGGTCCTCTCCCTGTCTCCTTTCACTGACATCACTCATCAGCAGCTGTTTGCAGTATCCAATAGCATGTTCAAGGACAGATTCACAATCTACCATAGAGCTCCAGAGACCATGTTCAGCAATCTGGTAGACACAGTCGGTCACCTTCTTATCGGGAGATTGCATTTGAAATAGCAATTCTTTCATTAGAATATTTCTATTCACATCTTTTAGAGAGTGCTTGGCCTCAAAATCACTCATAAACTGGCCATCATCCAATGCAACACTGGTTGAAATAGCAGCCACCAAAATCAGTAATGCTACCACAAGACCCTTCATAACTGCTTGTCAAACGTACGTTGCAATGTGGTACCTACCACTGGCTTAGCTCTCTTTTATGGAGCAGAGCATCTGAAGCTCCTCCTATTTCCACTGCACTATACACATTTGTACACGTAGTGTGAGATTCACATCTCTATGAATATGAGGAATGTGTGTGTCAAGTTCTTCTCTACACACACTAACTAAAGTAAGAATTCAGAAGCCTTGCATCCTATATGTGTGTGTACATTAGAGGGGGGAATTCAAATACTGACAAGGAATTAGTGTCCTTTGATGTGATTTCACTCTTCTAGAATACTGGTGGAGTATACAGTTACCTGCAGCAGTGTAGAGTCTAGAGTATTGACGAATTACTTTCTGACATGGTATTCTGACAAATCTCCCATTTCTACCTGTGCCTCGATTCCATCATTTTAGAGGAATTTTTACGAGATACATACTTCACGGAACAACTATATACGTACTCATCCACATAAAAACACAAACCTACACACACCACTTTCCCTACGATTGCCTTCTTCCACACAAGGCAGCTATTGTAACACGTTGTTACTCTTCCTCCATTTTTGTGGTACTGCACTAAGCCTTCTTTGTTATCTCAATTTCGGTTTCCCTCATGTCTTTTGCCTACCGTGGAATTCTGAAGGCAAACCTGCTCACAGTGGATCATTTTACACTTGATCTTTTCTACAGCTATTACAAAAGAGTATAACTGGGCAAAAAGAGATTATGCTTAAATAAACCACACCCAGTAGATTTAGAGTGCGCATGGAGCTAACTAACTCGTCATAAAAAAAGCTGCTCACGGGCACCTAGACATCAGCACACCATGTGCCTTCCTTGTTACAGGTACACTCCAGAGGAGCCTTCTGCTCTGCCTCTCAACACAGCTACTCAGCTTAATTACTGTGTCATCTCCAAAAAGTACTGGAGAGAAATGTTGATAACTTCCCCATCTCTCCTAAATTCCTCACGTTCAATCCAAGAGTCCACATTAACTTGTTATAATAATTATATTATGTCACAGCATAAAAAAGTCCGGCACTACATCTTATGTATGACAACAGTATACCACACTGACCTACACCACACAGACTATACATTCACAAAGGGGTGGACCCCACGTCTCTATGCACAGATCGTGACACACCAGACTATACACAGAACGAAAACTGGCACACACACACACTTGCCCTAGCTAATACACAATGATGATGTAATATTACATACATTGGACCGTACGCCATACGATCGTATCTAGAACCTACACTTGTACAGCACAACATGTCTTGTCATGGTGCCCGTGAGCAGTTTTTAATGACGAGTTATTGATGCACAGTATCCAGCACAGCACACCACACCTATTATACCAAGAACATACACTTATGCATACCCGAGCATACCATAGAAAGTACACACACATACACGATAGTCCCAAATACATGATAACAGTTCAAGTGTCACATAGCTACTACGTTATATAAATAGTATAGCTGGGCAAAAAGAGACCAGTTGCTACTTAGGTTAACCCAATCAAACCACATCCAGTAGATTAGAGTGCGCGTGGAGCTAAATAGTCATAAAAAAACTGCTCACAAGCACACCAAGACATCAGCACACCATGTGCCTTCCTTGCTACAGGTACACTCCAGAGGAGCTGTCTGCTCTACCTCTCAACACGGCTACTCAGCGTAATTACTGTGCATCTCCCAAAGTCAAGTGCTGGAGAGAAATGTTGATAAATTCCCCATCTCTCCTAAATTCCTCACGTTCGGTCCAAGATTCCACATTACTTTCCTATAATATATTATGTCACAGCATAAACAAGTCCTGCACTCTCTTATTACAACAGTACACCATCATGGCCCAACACAAAGACCCGCACCACACAGACTATACATTCACAAAGGGGTGGGGCCCACTGTCTCTACGCACAGATCGTGACACACGTGACTACAAAGAACCAAAAAGGTTGTCATTGAAAACTTGCACGCTGGCACGTGTCCTAGTGCAACATATAGGGTATCAGCACAACATATGCTTTCCTTGCTACAGGTACACTTCAGAGGAGCTCTCTGCTCTGCCTCTCAACACAGCCACCAAACTCCCTGAGAAGGTGAGTATTCTGCAGCATCCTCTTACATATGTTTGTAGTTAAGGGTATAAAAAAAAAAATAGGGAGGCAACCTTGCTTAGTGCACCATTTACAATACATGGTACATACTGGGTGTTGTATTCCTGCAGCTTCCAGATGCTCCTCTACCTCCTCACCATCAGGACTACTCAACTGCTTCTCAGTGCACCTCTAGTAGTACCTCAGTCCTCCAGCCATCCTCTGCCTCCCTCTCCACCTCTGTTACCATCACCCCTCCCGGTACTGGCAGTCAACAGACAGCTGAGACCTCAGCCTCTGATGCTGTTAGACTGGCCTCTATCACTACAACAAAGGTATTCACCCATCCACCTGTAACTTTGTTACGTGTACATATCCATGTGTGTGTGGGGGACATTGGGAGGGTGGTTAAACTGACTCACAGCTCAAATGAATACATGTGCAACTTGTACTCCTATGAACCCTCTCTGGACCAGGTGTCTCAGTCAGGGATGGTGTGCAGTGTGTGCTATCGGGGAAGAGCCACTGTGAAGCAAGACAAACCTGAACCGCTCCTGCAGTGCTCCCACTGTCAAGGAAACAGTAAGTGAGACGACCACCTGATCTGTCATGTTGCCCACTTACGGGACTTCCTTTCCTCTCCCCTAAAGCCACATATCTGTGCTTCAGCTCATGCATGATTGGCAAGCGAAGTGAGCCTACCTAGTCATTTCAATGCAGGAATTTAAGTACTAGTTAAAGTACCGGCACAAGTGCTCTATGGAAACTATTGGGCGCGGGAAAAATTCGAGAAGGTCATGTAGCACGAGCACGCAGCGCGAGTATTACATCAGCTTCGAGAACTTTCCCAAAGCCCAATAATTTCCAGAGAGTAAGAGCAAAGACGGTACTTTAACTGGTTTGTAGTCCTTTGCCAAACTGTTCTCTATTCTCCTAACTGCTTCAAGAACTTTCCCCAATAGTGTCCATAAAGTATATACATACAAGCAAAGACAGCTGTAACTGCACTATCTATTTGTAGTGTAGTACTCTTCCTTTGATGTTGTAAGGCTTCAGACTACAAATACGTAATTATATGTAACCTCTCTGTCAGGCACTGCAAATACCGTAATGTTCTAAATAGCTACGCATATATAACACGTGCGAAATATTGAACTGCTGACCCTCGCTCGCCACATTCCTATAGTACAGTTACATACATACATATCTCATAATAACAGAGTTGTCACTGTTACTATTGCGTCGAAAATGTTGACACTGATTTCCAAGGCACTTCTACATACCTACTACAGTCCACCCGTCTTGTCTGGGTATGAGCAGTGAGGCGGCTGAGGTGGCCCTCACCTACCCCTGGCAGTGTCTGGAGTGCAAGACGTGCAGTGTGTGTGGAGACCCAGGTGGAGAGGAGGAGATGGTCTTCTGCGATCACTGCGACCGAGGCTATCACACCTTCTGTCTCGACATGAAGGGGATACCCGAAGGTCTGATGTACTATTACAAGTGGAATGAAAAGCACTAAAGTGCAAACCCTCGGTGAACTGCGCATGCACGGTACGGCTAATTGATGGGCTGGGCTATTAGATGTATGCGTTTACTCGTGGTCTGCCGCTAGTAGCTGTTGGAGAGTCTGACACGGGCAAGCTACGGTAGTAGATAGAATGGGGGAGTCAATACATGCCCTTTGTTGTGGCTTCTTGTGCCTCTGAAGTACACAGAGCAAGTTGATTAGGTTGAGGTAAGCGGTGCTAAAGGCTTGTTAATTGGTTTTCACGCCATAACTTTAGAACGCAGTACTTTCAATCGCCATGTTTAAAATCAAGCCATTGTGGCTCTGAACCCGTTGGCACAGCTTATTTGCTGCCTATTATACTTGCGCGTAGTGGCAGAAAACGTGGTAACAGACAGACGGACGGGCGGAATTACAGACCAAGTACTGTAACCCTCGCTGCACATGCGTGCCGAGGGTTAAAAATCATTTCTTCAAAATGAAGGGGGATATAGGGATGGCTCAAAGCACAAAAAAGGAAAGAACAAGGGTCATTTCACGGCCAAGACACACAAATCAACATGACACCATCCCTATATCTTTGTCTGATCGTATGTACTTCCCTATTTGTCAATAGAACAAAGATAATTATAGGGATAATGTCATGTTGATTTATGTCTTAGCTGTGAAATGACCCCTTGTTTTTTTCCTTTTTTGTGCTTCAAGTCATCCCTATATCCCCTTCATTTTGAAGAAATGATTTTTCCACTAACCACTCTGACTACATACGTAGAAAGCACCATGGACTAGCTTTTGTATAGAGCAAAATGAAGTTGGGTAGGCAGGGACACTGAGGACTACTGAGCAAACCAACAGCCAGACACTAGCTGGCGTGCCTCCCATGCACGGCCTGCACGAGCATCCAGACAACACCCCGGGCGTGTGCTGCTAAGTTACCAGGAAATGGCATCGTTCGGTGTCTACCACGGTGGAGCTTAAAGATCAACCGTATAGGGACTTGCAAAAATGTAGAAACGATCGCTCGATGGCCATGGAGACGTTCGGTGAAAAAACAGTGCTGCAACTTGTTCCGGTAAGGAGATACGTATCGGGATTGAAGAAGATGAAGAAGATGAAGAATGTGATTATGGTGACATGAAAATTGCAAAATCGTGTGTGAACGAATTCTCGCATGGAGAACTGATGGCACGTATCAAGTGTTTTGGCATATGTATAGCGCCCGTATACTATTGCTAGTGATTTTTGAAGCCTAGCGAGTCATTCTCAAAGATTTTTTGAGGTGTTTTGTATGCAGATCACATGAGATCTGACCTGTGACATCCCTGTATACGTTACAGCGTCTACCGACGCTCTAATATACTACCAGCACTTCGTTTTGTATTAAGAATGTACATGTTTAGGATGTATGTTAAAGAGAGAAATTGCTCCCCATACAATTTTGCTTACACTTATTCAAAATTAACCCTCCAACTTCTTTTTCTCCCATTATTAACTTCTATCGGAATAGAGTAATGTATTTTATAAATTGTCTCAATTTTTTGGCCTCACTGTATATACAAAGGTCAATGGCTGTGCATGGAGTGCTGTGAGTGTGCCATCTGTGGCACTGAGAGTGGCAGAGGTGACAGGAACCAGTGGAGGCACGAGGTCAGTCTACTTTTACTTATGTACTCTGCCTCCCTGATCATCACTGCGTTATTTTCTTTTGTTGCAGTTCATTAATAACAAGTTTTTGCACACTCTGTGCTTAGATTGTGCAAAGTAAGTTGTTGGTATAATCGTCATACCCCTCGGCGTGCATGTGCAATAAGTATTAGTTAACGTAAAGGCAGCGAGGCGGTACAGGATATACTCCGAGGTTGTTGACTATACCGGAAGAGGGCATAGCCTGAGGCCAGTATAGTTAACATCCGAGGAGGATTTCCTGTACGCGCCAAGACCCCTGCCATTAACTTATTTGTATTCCAACTAGCCAATCACAATGCTGCTGTGTCATCCTGCACTAATGACTAATGACTGTTATGTAAACTTTGGAAGCCAGACAATTTGCACTACACCTAGCGCTAGATGTTGTAATAAGAACTTCCTGTCCAATACTGATACCAGTGCAGCCCTCAGCCCACAGCTCACAATACAGCGTATATTCCTAGCACTGGGTTGTTTGAAGTTGGACTACAAATAACATGTAATTTTGTGCACCAACTGTGTTTGTTTCTTTTTACACAAATTTTCTATTGTATGCAGAATATGACTGTTGCTGCCACGAAGGTTGCTAAGATATATATATCCCAGAAATCCTCTTGTGTGTATATTATGTTCTTATGTACGATAACATATTCGTACTGTACACAAACACCATTTTATGCACCAGATCCCTCTTATACCTTTCTGTAAAATATTTTCAAACCGTTGGACGCCATGGGGATCTGCTTAAATAAGCATAAATTGATGTATGAACTATCACGCGCCGTGTATTTTGTATTTTCAAATTGCTCTAATTTGTATATCCCAGCATTATCTGCACTCACGAGACTCTGTACAGCTATTTGTACAAATAACAGTGGTCATTTGTCATGAGGGAATGCGAGTATGCAGTTTTACGCATTATTCGTTACGTGTTACATTATGGAATCGCCGTCTACACTACATAAGACAATATTACATGACATCTATATCTTTGCTTGCCAATCGTTCATCTTAATTAGGGTTAGGGTGATATCCTAGTGAAAACTGAGCGTCTTACAGAAGTATGTATTATGTCAAGTATACAAGGGCACCAATCCCCCAATTTACACACAAAATAAGAAGCACTACTAGTTCTAGTTCGACTACATCACTATTTAAAAAAAGAACCACTACTTCCAATGCTCTATTTTCAGAGTGACCATTTATCCTTGCTGAGATAAAAAGCGTTCTGGTTGTGCGCAATAATATCCTGTTCTTGCCTCAGAACCCCTGGAGAAAACTAACGAAATTAGGCACACCTTTTCCTTCACTGGTGCGGTGCTGTACACACGATACCATATGTCATTTTCTTTCCATCTTTTCTCAGAGGTCTCGTAGCAAGTAAATTTGTGTGATTGAGGGCCGTCTGTTCCAATTGGGCAATTCTCCAAAATGCGGTAATAAGCCTCACAGCGTGGATGGCGGAAACTGCCATGTTTAAACTTGTGACTCACATGTACCTCCACAGGGCTTACTGCCTTGAGCCATTGCTCGTAGTTAGCTTTATTACTTGCACCGTGGTGTGCCATCTTGTAGTGAGTAGCGCTGAGAAACATACGGCCCACTTTCTGTGTAGCAAAATGCTTAGCCGCTTTACCTTCCATGTCTCCAGCAAATAGCAACGAAGATTCACACCCCTTGCATGTCAGCTTCATCAACATTCCCATTTGATTTTTATCAGTGTTTGGATGCTCCGTCTTTGCGTCAATAAAATCGAAATATATAGTGGAATCCTCACAAAATTTCCCCACAGCAAGCCCTTTGTGAAACACAATATTTTCGGCTGTAAGCTTGTCCAAGAATTTCATGAACTTGACGGTGTAATCTGAGCGAATTCCTCCAAGAATTGCAACAATTGTTTGGATGTTAGGTGTGACGCTGGGTGTCAGAATTTTTTGTATCTGGTTGTAGTGGTCTCTATCTCCATGTGAAATCAGAATTGCCAGAAACGTAGCTTTTTCGAAATATGACTTAAGGAACTTGAAGTCTTCGTTTTTGAGAAAATTTGCGCCAATACTGCCACAGTCAAAAAGGATTACATTGTTTCCTTTGTTGCACGTAATGATGTTGCAATCTCCTTGACCTATTGGTAATGTGTGAACTTCGACCAGGTCCTGCCAACCCTGCAACGTCTGTACACGTGTTATCTCTTGGAGCTGTGGTTTGAATACTGGAGTCAAACTCATTTTTGAGTTTGACCAATCTTGGTTCATTTTGGACCATTGCGACTGGGAGCCTTCTGTAAAATACAAGTTCCTTTGCTGCGATTGGGACCCTTGAGGCTTCATTTGTGACATCTGGGACCCCTGTGGAGACTTCATGTTCCGCTGCAGCCAGTTCATGTTTCGTTCCGATTGGAACCACTGTTGCTTGTTCCTGTTGGGTTGTGGTGTTTGGAGCTGATACTTTTGAAATGGTTGTGGCTGCACGTAACACACCCCTTGTTGTTCTAGAGACTCACGTAGTAAGGAGGTAAGTCTGGAGACATGCTGAAAATTGTAGATTTTCTGAGAATTAACAAGAGCCAGAAACTGGCATAGCTCCGTATGAAGTTGTGTGATAAGCATTTTTGTGTTTCGCTGTTGACTGCCTTGAGAAATAGTTGACAGCTGCCCATGTTAGAAGTCTGACAGAATTGGATTATGCTTCTCATGTATCTTTTGCACACCTGGAAATAGGCTTCATTCAGTCCATTCAACGATGTTAAGCAAGATTTAATCTCAGATCGTATTTTCTCGTCTACTTCTTTGGATTGCCCCATGGCTCTGTAGAAGTATTCGTCATTTTTCTGTGTACGATAAAACAAACCGATCTGTCCTTGGTTATCAAACTCTTTCATAGCACCACAACATTGTATGACGAGAAACACTAGCAAAATCGTTAACGGTACTTTCAGCAGAACTCCATGGTCTTTGCTAGTGCAGTAGCTACACGTTTGAACCAAACTGGAGCTTATAATGAAAGAAAAGAAGGTGTGTCTACTCATATCATGCTAAAAGTATGCATGGTTTCTGCATCGAAATTTCCCTGCTTAAAATATTCATACACTGGGACAGCACGATAGTGAATACTTATCAGATTTCAGCGGTCGTAGTGTCAGTAGGCTTGCTTGGATTACACAATGCTGTCTTTCCTCATAACAAGCATACACTCCTTTGGTGGCAGGTGCGAGTAGTGGGACTGGGTCAAAGTGCAAAATGCTCTGCTAAACTGAGCTATGTAAAGCTTTGTCACTATATGCTTCAGATTGCATCACATGAGTGTCAGCTGACATCATGTGACTGTTCTCAGATGCAGAGATTGGGGATCATGTATTGTGCTATTAAAGTCCGCATTAGCTATATACATGCTGCATGGCTGAGAAAATCACCAAAGATGCACGTGGAGCACTGTAGCTATGACCCACAGGTTTGAGTAGTGGTGGGAGTGTGATGGTATAGCACAATTATCCCCGCTGCTGGTGTGCTAGTACCTATGTACAGCTCCCCTGGTGCTTTCATCTAAAACACATTTTTGGCAAGCCAACAAGAGTGTAAAACTTCAGCAGACTTATGAGATGCGACAGCCAATGACCAGGAGGTAGGATAGATGGCTAGTGGTGGGTTTGCTCTTGTCCTCGCGCCTATATAAATGTACAAGAGATTGAGCATACTAAAAATTGCCTTACAATTCGCTATAAACTATGTAACGTGAGCATGGTCTCTGGGAATAGCCCACATCCCTTACACACGAGAGTATCACAACACCTTTGTGTACCACTCTTCCAGTTATCTCACTTGGGAGCGTGAGTAACTTGTACCACTGTGGATACGATACTGTAACTTACACAGTACAACAGAGAGCCCTCCCTCAGACCTCCCCCACTCATAGATACTCGATTTCATCTTCAAACTGTAGTGGATGGAATTAGGTTTGGGGAAGGAGGAAATCCCACGATGGCGCTTAGCTACTGGTGTGCTAGTACCTATGTACAGCTCCCCTGGTGCTTTCATCTAAAACACATTTTTGGCAAGCCAACAAGAGTGTAAAACTTCAGCAGACTTATGAGATGCGACAGCCAAATGACCAGGAGGTAGGATAGATGGCTAGGGTGGGTTTGCTTTGCTCGCCGACTATATAAATGTACAACAGAATGAGCACGTACTGATAATATGCCTTACAATTCGCTATAGCTATGTACGTGAGCATGGTCTCTGGGAATAGCTGCCTCCCTTACACACACTAGTCATGAGAGTAAGGCTCGGATTCGGATGCTAAACAACACCTTTGTGTACCACTCCTCCAGTTATCTCACTATAGTGAGTGTGAGTAATGTGTAGCTACCACTGTGGATACGATACTGTAACCTACACCAGTACAACAGAGAGCTCCCACTCCCTGACTGTAGTGTAACACCTTACCTCCCTCAGACCTCTCCCACTCATAGATATATATAATATACTCGATTTCATCTTCAAACTGTAGTGGATGATGGGATTAGGTTTGGGGAAGGAAGAAATCCCACGAGCTTAGCTACTTGCAAGACTCTTGCATAGAATGCTCACTACCACAAACACTGACACCTGCACTTAATGGGTGGTATGTACATAGTTCATGTCATGTGGTCAGTAATAATACTTAGCATGAAGTTCAAGCTTAGTTGGTGGTTTGATCACTTCGGCCCGCTCTTAAGAGCGTAATTGCTGGCGTGGACTGCTTTTTTCATTAACCCTCGACGCACATGCACAGCGAGGGTTACTGTGCTTGGTTAAGTTATGGCTTACTACACATTTTTAGTGTCTGCCTGTTGTGTTGTACTTTGAGCCCCGCTTCAGGTTGAGAGCACTCGGCATAGGGTGCAAATACTGTTGGGTTTTGGCAGTATATAAGGGCTAAATTAAGAAATGTTACTAAAGATAGAATGAGTCACAGTGAAAAGTTTCGTTTTAGTAACACTTCTAAATTTAGCCCTTATGTACTGTAGTCCGCGTATAAAAAGGGGCGTGCCAGGCAAAAATCGATTAACTTTAGCGCACACCGTGACAAAATGGCGGTGTTCAAACTAATGTCTCTTCACTTCCTGAGCCGCTGGCTACCACGCACCCGTTTCCACGCACTAAAACACGCTGCGTTTGTGCCTCTCAATGCTGAATCAGCGCTTCTTGCGCTACTCGCACATGAATGTCTGCCTCCAGCGGCCAAGAAACCGAGGGCCGGCGGCGCACGTTTGACTATCCAGCTAACGTTTGGCAACACTGACAGGATGGCAGCGTTCAAGGAGCGAATGGAAGCTCTAAAGTCCGCTCTCGCTCCTGCGGGAGCACTGACCTCCATTGAAGCCGGTCGAGCTAATGGCGAAGCTCTTTGACATAGCTGATATTAATTATCTTGTTCTTTCCATCAGCAGAGTCCTGAGGAACTAGCCCTAGCCCTAGCCCTCAGCAGAGTCCTGAGGAACATCCTTGGAGGAAGACTGAGCCATACAGCCAGCTTGCACGCACTTTGTATATACGTATAATATACTCGCGTGCGCACATTATATTACCAATCCGTGTTACGCACCGCAGCTAAGTTGTTCCAGCGTTGCGCTAGCGGTACAAACGAAGGCTCCATACACTTGCCTTCTGGTACGTTTTTGAATTTTACCGCCGCCATGTTTGAGCCAGGCACCGCCCGTTTTATACGCATGCGCACGGAAGCGACTCCGCCTCTGCAAATTGCGCGAGCGCGCAAGAAGCGCTTAGCAGATATTTTATCCGCGGACTACAAGTTTAAGTCACACCCATGGCAACTGAAAAGAGTGTTGTCTTCGGTGTCGTTTTTCTCATCCCTAGCTATCTCAGCACTGACGTCTGGTGCACTAACATACCTGCTTAGTACTTAGCTGTTCAAAATAGCAGTTGGCTATTCACTTATATACCAACCCTAGTAAAACATGTACAATATTATGCGTAATTTTTGGTGGCTGTGGTTGATTTGATCCAATAAAGATAATCGGTCACATCACTAAAATGCAAGAAGTTACTAGCTAACATCTAGCTACAGCAGCTAATGTTCAGTCTATATAGCTATGAAGTCAGTTCCAAGGGTTGATTCTAGATCACAGCGGAAAGTCTTTCCTCCATACCGATTCCCCGGAATCGATTCCAAAGAGGGCATTGGCCGTGGCGTCACACTGGCTGAGGCTATTGATCTTGTCGTGGCCAACCTGAATCCACTGCCCGATGCACGGCTTGCGGCAACGGAATATCTCGTTCTTGGTGTTGATGCCAAAGATATCATATGGACCGGATGTGGTCACATATTGGAAACCGCCAGTGATGAAACGCCATGCTCCACTTCCATCGACAGGTCGGCAGTACAGATTCTTTCCTGAATTGACCCCACACACCTCTCGTTCCCCGCCGTCTATCATCTTGAGACCTCCATTCACCCTCTGCCAGCCTCCATTGCACGGTTTCTTGCACTTGTAGATGTAATTGGCACGGTTCGTCCCCCACACATAGCCGTTGCCAGAGGCCGAGACGTGGATCAGTTTCCCAGCTAGTTTTTTCCAGCTTCCACTGCCATCAACTGGGCGGACATATATGTCGTCATTCTTATTGACGCCCCAAACAAATTCATCGTCTACATCCAGCTGGACCAATAATCCGTTGATTACTTTCCATGCACCTGTACATGGGCGTGGGCACAGGTAAATTTTATTCTCCTTGTCGAGTCCCCAGATGTAGTTGAGGTTTCCGGATACTTGGACCAGACCTCGTGGAATCTGGGTCCAGCCCTCGTCTCCACTCACATGGCTGGCGTAGCAGCCGAGAGAAAGAAGAAGAACAAGGATTCCAGCGTGACTCATGTTTGCAGAGACAGTGTGTAGCTACCTAACTCTGAGGCGTCTTATATTTATACTGCCGAACTCAATCAAACTGCCGACCTGCTAAACCAATTTCCCCACAAGTAATTACTCGCATGTCACAATGTGGAGTAAGTAATTACTTATTAGCTGACAAACCAGTTGAGCTGGATAATGTTATCGTGCTAATATCTATTTACTGGAGAGTAAGCAATCACTGAGGCGTCTTATATTTATACTGCCGAACTCAATCAAACTGCCGGGCTGCTAAACCAATTTCCCCACAAGTAATTACTCGCATGTCACAATGTGGAGTAAGTAATTACTTATTAGCTGACAGACCAGTTGAGTCTGGATAATGTTATCGTGCTAATATCTATTTACTGGAGATTAAGCTCATCACTTCAAACATATGGTCTATCAACCGTTCGCGCGATGATAATACTTATTATGACATCTTAGAAAGTGTTTACTGGAAAAAGCTATATGTTAGCAAAATTGAATTCTTTCTTACACTGGCCTCTCTTTGTTGTGGTGCTTTTCTAATTTAAACAACCGCTTGTACTGCCACATTCCCTTTACCGTTGTTGTAACTATGCATGTGTGCACAGTGCGCTATGCATGTGTGCAAGACTATAGCACTGTTTACTTAGTTTTGGACATTCCTCCTGTCATGCTACCCATATACGTTGTGTTACTGTGACCTATTTGGACACCCACACTTTGTAATAGTTCAATAGGTCTATACTTTTCCTCCCTCACACCACAACTATTTTGGAGGATGACTTGTTTGCCCGAGTACCCTTACCGTCTGTACAGCCCACTGTAGCATCTTAGCATCCATTCCCAGGCTGTTTTAGCTTTGCATGGTACAGCCAGTAACTATACCCTCTCAGAACCCCCACTATCAGTAAAAGAACCCCCCACTATCTGTAAAAGTACTCCAATGCGTCATACACTTCTTTGCCTGTCAAAGTTAGCTACTCGACATCACTTTTCTATGGTGAGCTTACCCGATGTTTTAGTTACTGTTGAAATGCTCAATTTAACGGCTTGGGCTGAATACAGGAGAGAAAATTAGATTCCTCGTTAATGGATGCTGAGATCCACCGTTATCTAAGAGGTACATAGGCCACTGTAACATAAACTGAGCACCCTATCCTAAGCCAGGGAGTGAGAGAGTTTAATGCCCCCGCACGTCTCCCACCACCATAATTATAAAGGGGGAAACAGCATAATTGTGGTTAGCAAGCATTTCTCCTTTAATCATAGCCATGATAGGAATAGCCACAGTAATGTATCTGTTACCACCTTACGTATTGGGTCATATATGGGGCATAATTTTAATGCATAGTGAAATTGCGATGTGTAGCTCATGCAATGTGTGTGTAAAGCATAGTGTCCAAGGTGGCAAAGGGTAACTTTATGGTTTCTTTTGCTAATTATGATGTCATGCGGTTGCCATAGAGGTGAGAAGTGCACTATTTTGTTGATGGTACGATGACATACTTAAACTACCATAATAACAGCAAAATCCCTCCTGTAGTTTGACATGCATCCCTCCTGTAATCATAGCCATGGTAGGAATAGCCACACTAGGCGTTGGCCTCTGTAGCGTGCAACAAAGCATGGATAGCTGTCGCTGTAAACTCACTGACAGCACGTTGAATACATGGCTCTAAACATGTTGCGAGCATAGCACAAAAATTGTGACAAGCATTTGCACTGCACCTTTCTTCAGGGAGAAGGTTCATGAAGCACACAAATACCGAACGGATGCTAGTATGAGACATTTAAACTCTGTTCCTGTTATAAGGTGTGTTTTAACACTCGGCGCGCATGCGCAGCGAGGGTTATAGTATAATACTTGATCTGTGTTTTATACCAGCAAACCCTCGGCGAACTGCGCAAGCGCGATACTGCTAATTGATAGGCTGGGCTACTTGTATGCGTTTACTCGTGGAGTGTGGTCTGACACGGGTTAGCGACAGTAGTAGATACCATGCGGGAGTCGATACATGCCATTCGTTGTGACTTCCTGAGCCCCCAAGGTACACAGAGCGAGCAGATCAGGTCGCGGTAAGCCCAGAGAGATTACGCAATTGGCTTTTTCCCTTCTTTTCACGGCATATCTCTCGAACGCAGTCGTTTCAGGAAAATCGCCACAAAACTTCTGCCCGTTAGGTAGGTAGTATCGTTTGTGACACTAAAAAACATTCGAGAAGTGAGATGTTGAGTAACAGACAGACGTACGTCGTACAGTATGGAGGGAGATTAGTGTCAAAATTACACCATCATACACTCCCTCATTCAGGTATGGTCCCCTCACTCAGTATGGTCCCCTCATTCAGGTATGCTATCTTTATTCAGGTATGCTATATATCTTCATTCAGGCATGCTATATACCTTCATTCAGACATAATAATGCATAATTGGCAGTGGAAACTAAACTAACATCCACAAGACCATACACCTGCATGAAAATAGCATGCCTGAATGAAGGTAGCATACCTGAATGAGGGGACCATACCTGAATGAGGGAGTGTATGATGGTGTAATTTTGACACTAATCTCCCTCCATAGTACAGACAGCTAGACAACCCAACTAACCCTCGCTGCGCATGCGCGCAGATGGTATTAGCTGTGCGCATGCCTATACTATTCACGACTGACCCCGACCGGGTCCGCTCGCTCTGTGTATCTTGAAGGCACAAGAAGACACAACGAATCATACTGATACCCCAGCCCATCAATTAGCGGTATGGCGCATGCGCAGTTCGCCGAGGGTTTGCATAAAACTAGAAGCTGATAAACACCAAAAAGTCACTAAAACTATTGCAGTATGTGGCTATTCACAGAGGCAGATCTTGCCTCCATACTGACTGGCTGGTGTCCACAGCAAACAGGCCATCAACAGTTGCATCACATGTGGAAATTGGTCGTCTGGTCAGCCGTAACTCTATCCACTGCCCAATGCACGGTTTCCTGCAGCGATACATACTATCGTCTGTGCCTATTGCAAACAAGTCATAGTGTCCTGATGCAGACACTTTGTTTGCCTCCCCCGGTACCTGTCGCCATTCCCCGCTCCCATCAACCGGTCTGCAAAAGATTCTGTTGCGTCTGTTTATGCCGCACACTTCTCTCTGTCCACCATCTATCTGTTTAAGACGACCATCTACCCTGATCCAATCTCCACTACAAGGCTTCTTGCATTTGTATACGTAGTTATCGCGGTTTGTGCCCCAGATGTACCCATTCCCCGAAGCCGACACGTGAATCAGTTTCCCATCAATTCCCTTCCATCTTCCACTACCGTCGACAGGTCGGACATAGATACCATCATTTTCGTTAACACCCCAGACTTGATGGTCATCGACATCCAATTGAACTAGCTTGCCATACATTTCGTTCCAGTCGCCAGTGCAAGGGCGTTTGCACATGAAGATGTCCATATCTTGGTTGACTCCCCAGATGTAGTTGAGACCAGCAGACACCTGAGTCATATCCCGGGAGGACATCCTGGTGCGGTCTTGTTCGACTTTATTCCTGGTGCTATTGATTTCGATCACATCTCCAAAAGAGCTACCTATAAGAGAACAACCAGTAAGACATATTATGAATATGATTATCAGCTTATCCATTTTTCTAGTTGACAAGAGAAATGCCTTTTTCTGGACAGTTGGTGCTTTTTATGCCACACAGCCAATGTGTGAATGTGACCATGTTTCCACAGGCCCTTCAACCGTTGAGTCACATAGCAGCCCTAGGAGTATTTTGGCCTTTATTCACCGTGACAAACAAATAATTATAATGGTTTTTTATGTTCACAGCACTCTTCCATGGGTCGTGAACTACTTCACTTGTATATACACTAATTCATGACTGTACTCCTCCTGTATACAGGACACGTTCACTTGAGCCACTTCAGGGTTGCTTTATTAACTACCTACAGTAGTACCTCTTTCTGTGGTGTATAGAGCTCTTGTAGTGTAACTGTAGCTATGCCTATATACAATTCTCTCAAAGGTTCGTGCTGCACAAAACATTTTCAGTCGCCCCCTTGCTGACTAGATTTGCGCCATACGTAGCTAAATCATGTGCCAGATCTTACAGATCATAGTGCAAGTTTATGGGTGGTCATAACTGTGCAGTAATGTAGCATTGTTTTTTTTTGGAACGTGGCAGTAAATCTAGAAATGTTACTACATAAGGAACTCAATTTCATTCTTTCACTGTGCCCCCATTGTTTTGTTCTATCTTTAGCAACATTTCTAAATTTAGCCCTTACTTACTGCCACAATCTCTCTCGGAAAGGCCAGTAAAGAGAGAATAGCTTACGGTAGGCGTTAGAAACTGAATTTCCTTGCATGGGTTACACATGCTGAATAATTATGCTTGTGGTATGCATAAAAAATGTCTTATGACTAGCAAGAGGCAGGGGTGGTACGCATAAAAAAAATTTCTTATGACTAGCCAGAGGCAGCTTCACAGCACGTAGTGTACATTTACAGACAAAAGTCTAGCCCAGAAACAAAGTCAATTCATCTACTGTGTTTTGATTAAGTTGTAGCTACTAACTAAATCCTGATCTACATGGTTTTCTACACTACACATCTCCACAGTAGTAGTCTGTAACTGCTTCTTGGGCAGCTTTGAACGTCAGAACTATCCAGCATATCTTGTTCTTGCGTGGTGCAGTGCTAAAAATACGGTGATACACGCATTGATCGTAAGCCTTATACCTTCATCCTTTTCTCCGAAACATGCCAGATCATGTGGCTTTGCACCAGGAGCTCCGCTAGCCATTCCGACACTGCCGACTGACATTAGTCTGTTGAAAGCCTCACAACGTGGGTGATGGAATGAACCATGGTTGTACATGTGACTCACATGTACCTCCACTGGGCGTATTGCTTCAAGCCACTCCATAAAGTTTGCCTCATTGCTTGCGCCGTGGTGAGCCATCTTATAGTGTGTAGATCTCAAGAAGTCAGAGTAAAATTGGCTAGTAGCATAAATCCGTGCACTGCGACCTTCCATATCTGCAGCCATAAGAAGTGACGATTTACATGTACCGCAAGACAGTTTCATCAACAATCCCCTCTCATTCATACGATTTGAACGTATGTTTCCTTGTACCAAATCAAACACTATTTGCGGACTGCTACAAAAGTCAGCTCTGGTTTTTGCTCCACTTTGATCAGCTACTTGCACAGCAATTCTCTTGATGCTCTCTGGATAATCTGAAGTCTCTCCACCAACAATAACATATTGGATCTTTTCACCAAGAATACTAACTAGTGATTGAATCATGTTATAATGATCTCTGTGAGCGTGCGATATGATTATTGTTGCAAGCTCTGCCCCTGAAAGAAGGTTAGGTACAAATGATGCGTACTTTCTCTGACTCTTCAGATGATTCCCCCCAAGGCTACCGCAATCGAAAATGATGACGTTTTTTCCTTCGTTGCACTTGATTATGTTGCAATCTCCTTGACCTATTGGTAGAGTGAACACCTGAACAAGAATGTCGCCATTTTCAGCTCTTGATTTCGAGCTCAGAGTTTTAAATTCTTTCAATTCACGCATGGGACGTTGCGTTGTCATGGATCTCTTATTCCTGGGATCCTCGAAGCACTTTTGTTGCGAAAGAATTTCAGGTACCTGTCCGTATAGTGCTCCCAGCATTGCCACTGGTGTCCCTGCGAAGGCCAATTGCTGCAAATCGTTGCTCTCCTCTTGTCCACCTTTTTCTCCTACTTGAGTGAGTGCTATTGAGTTAAAATCATCGTAGTTTAAAAATTCATCGTCTTCAAATGCCCAACTGTAGGTATTAACAACAACCAAAGCTGCTACAGCTACGAAGAAGAGCGACTTCATCTGTTCTCAACTGTCACAAGTTGCCCAAAATGAAAAACAACTCTGTTATCATCACTACTATTGTGATTGGTTGTATATCTTTCAGTTTCCCCTTTTGCTTCCTTGAAGCACTCTAGGGAATATATCACTAAGTACGTAGTATATAGGGATGATGCAGGTTGTCCTGCATTATGCCCATATTTGAGATTTTCATGTTTGACTTTCAGTTTCAATCAGATCCAACTTTGGACATATGAGACTAATTTGTATCGTCACAAAGAGCATGTATCCAAGAAATAGCTTAAATCGCACAATCGGTACTTGATTTATTCAAAAAAGTCACTTCCATCTTCTTCTTGTTGTTCTCAAAAAACCGGGTGGGTAAGATATGGAGATCAAAATTGGCACAAAGATTGGAATCCATGATAGTCGTGCAAGCATTTTATTTCTTCGTAAACAATTATGTTTACATGTAAACAGCACACCAAATAGCCCCAGCAATACATTATATAGAGACAAATAAAGTGTGCTAACTGGCTAAAGCTAATACCCAGAGTGATAAAACTTGTACACACATGCAACCATCATAGTATCAAAATGTAATCATTACAAGTTGTAAACAACAACAAATAGACTCAGGCACATTAATAATATATTTGTCCTATACTTGCATATGGTTGGTGGGACTCTAACAATGAAAATGGTACACTGATTGTACCTGATAAGAGTTCATCGAAACAGAAATGACAAGTAGTAACACAACAACAAACAGCTCAGGCAATAAAATGATGTTTGGCCTGTAACTTGCTTATGTGGGTCCTCTAACAATGAAACTTGGTACACTGATTTACTATGATAAGAGTTGATTGAAACATGAATTACAAGTTTGTAAACAACAACAAACAGCTTCAGGCAATAAAATTATGTTTGTGCCTGTAACTTGCTTATTGTGGGTCCTCTAACAATGAAACTTGGTACACTGATTTACTATGATAAGAGTTGATTGAAACATGAATTACAAGTTTGTAAACAACAACAAACAGCTTCAGGCAATTAAGTGCTCTTTTTCCTATACCTTTCTACACTTATCTACTTTGGAAGTGAAATTAAAAATGTAAATGACGACTAAGAGTCCGAGGGAATAAATAATGTTACTTTTTATATTTACATTATGCCTCAATGCATATGCATGCCGTAAAAAAAGGAAAGGAGACAAGAAAATAAAAAATTCTGTGAATTAAAAAAGTGTGGAATATAGGGATGCCATAAAAAGCAAGGAGACAAGACAGGGATGACCTGGGCATGTGATGCAGGGATGATTGTTACATCTTAAAACTGACATTTCTTGCTCATGTAAATTTTACTCCACACAAACCCTATATTGTCGCAAAGCACGAGTGATCTCTATCGTATGATGTGCAGCTATGACTCGTTTCCTATGCACGTAAGACTGGTAGCAAATGCCCTCTCTGACAGGTCCTCAGTTTTGAATCGTGACTGCATTTACTTCAACGTTCCCTCAACTAACTAGTTTTACAATGCTGCTTTCTCTACAGAATTTGTTTGCCAGTCTTCACACTACACTATTCAAAACTCACGTCATGAGTAAGAGTGGCGACAATATAGGGCTCGTGTGGAGTAAAATTTACATGAGCAAGAAATGTCAGTTTGAAGATGTAACAATCATCCCATTGTACTACTGCATCACATGCCCTATGACCCTGTCTTGTCTCCTTGCTTCTTATGGCATCCCTATATTCCACACATTTTTTAATTCGCAGAATTTTCTATTTTCTTGTTACTTATACATTCATCACATTTGGGAAAATGGAGGCAAGCATGTAAAACATGTAAAGCAAGAGTAGTGTATTGTAATTGCTAAGTCTGAACCTGAAAGAAGCTTAGTGAATGACATCCGCAGACTTTTTCTTAACAAAATGGATCTTAATCTGGTTTCTAGCCAACCACCGAGGTGTGCTCTTAGGCTTCCTGCTTAATTTTTGCAGTTTATCTTTCATCTTCCTGCTTATGAGCCCTATGACCTTGGTTTATTGTCGCTATGTGAAACGGTTGTATAATATAGCTATACAGTTGCCTCAGAACAGCAAACAAAAATAGTTATGCTATATAGCTGGTTGATTAGATGGCATTAAAAAAATTGTACCACTGAATAATAATGTATCTTTTAATTAATTTATGTAGGTACCTATATAGCTAGTACAGATGTAAGTCACACACTATGTTTATTAGCTGTCGTTCTTTAACGATTCCCTTCACACTCAATCATTCCTGTGGAAATGTGAATAATTAATGGTAGGTTATTCAGGGTCATTGGGTTTTACCTTTGCCTATAATGGTTGAAAGTTCAACATTCCTTTCCCTGACTTATATTCAGGTGTTGTAATCATGCTCAGTATTAATAATATTCACCATGATGATGCTAAACAATATTTTAAGTAGCTATAGCTACGTAGTGCAAGGTGTTTGTTGATTCTCATATATACCTAAGCATAAGAATGGTGGTGGTAAATGTGCTACTCTGCCATGTGCTACTTTTTTCTCTACTGGCAAGTAATGTAACCTGTCAAGATTGTATCTATCCAACACAACAAGATATAGAGGATGTGATTGAACAGATCGTAGCATATCCGGATGAAAGCTCTGATGTTGTTTCTGTTGATGTCACGAACTTCCATGTAGTGTGCCTTGCATTTGGTTATGACAAGGATCTGTATCGTGCTGTGTCGGTGATTGTTGAATATACTTGTTCTGGTGGCAGCAACTGTCCAATGGGAACCCAAGTAGTTGAACAGATTGAGTCAGAGTGTGAGGCTGGAAATTGGTCTACGGTGCACAGTGTACGAGATAGCACAGCGTACACACGTTCTGAAACTAACGCTGATTTCTCCACTGCTGTGAGGGAAAACTGCTCTCTATGTCTATCCAATACACTGGCAGAGAGAGTATCCCTCACAACTGATCCAGTTACACACTGTGTGGGTTAGTTTACTCGTGGCTAGCTGTATTGCTGACCCTCTTGCTAGATGGCCATCTGTGTGTTTTCTTCAGCATGTGATTGGACATGCAATAGAGGCCATGGGCGATGCTTCGGGTTAACACCCTCAGTGTGCAAGGAAGGAGGAAGCTCCTCTTCCTCTTGCTGCAATTTCTACCACGAGTTAACCTGTGTGGCTAACTGTCCCAGTGCTTACGTTGAAAACGAGGAAAATGACTGTGTGTGTCCAGTTGGAACTACCGGAAATAATTGTGAACATTGTCAGTTTTAGAATATTAAAACTAATTGTAAGTTATCATGATTGTTGTTTAATAGCTATAGATTGCGGGTGCCTAGAAAACCCAAAGAATGGTACGGTGGAATTGACTGGAACTACGTACAACTCTGAAGCAGTCTACTCATGCAACACTGGCTATAGTATGACTGGGAATAGAATGAGAGCGTGCAGCGAAAGTGGTGTTTGGTCTGGTACACTACCCATGTGTACTGGTGAGAGCACGTATTATTTCTGAATCTTGCTCACCTTACCTAGTGCTTTTTTCCTCTTCCAGCGGCTGACTGTGGAAGTCTTGCTCACCCTGATGCTGGGAGTGTAGTGTACCGTTCGACACTGTATGATGCGGTGGCAGCATATTCCTGTGAGTCTGGCTATATCCTGACTGGAAACAGTGAGAGAAAGTGCATGCACGATGCAGAGTGGTCTGGAGAGACACCAAAATGCACAAGTGAGCTTAGCCTATAGTTTGATAGGCGGAATTGCCGTAAGTAGTACATTGCGATCTACGGTAAGATACACTCATACTTTTCATGCTTTCTGCACAGAACCTGATTGTGGTGATCTTACACATCCTACCAATGGAGAAGTGGCCTATAATTCCACGAAATATAATGAAGTGGCAATCTACTACTGTGACACTGGTTATATTCTGACTGGATATTGTGAGCGGAAGTGCATGGAGACAAGTCAGTGGTCTGGGACCACACCTACATGCTCTGGTTAGAGGTTTGGTAGAATAGTTTGTGTTTACTCAGGCGATGCGCAGCAAGGGTTTAATGTGTGAGTGTGCTGTGTGTGTGTCTGTCTGTGATTCTGCTACAGTGATTTTGCCTTTTTTGCTTGAATTATTCTACACGTTATCATCTGTTAATGTCTGTGATCGATTTTCTCTTTTGTCTCTACTTCAACCCTTGTCTGAGGCAAGGCCTTCCAGCATTATAGAGTTGTTTGGTCATTGTGTAATCACACCATCAATGCACAGTTATAGACAACCACGCCAGTCAGAGGAAAATATTAATATTTTTTAGGCGATGTGCATCAAAATAATATTTGTTGCGAAATATATTTTTTGTGAGCAAAAACGGGTGAACAATGGAACAGTTTTGTAATTGGTATTCACTCTTTTGTCATAGTGGTTAACTGCAGTAACCTGAAAGGCCCTGAACATGGGAGGGTGTCAGTAACAGACACAACCTACAACTCAGTCGCAACTTACACCTGCAATGACAGCTATACCTTAGTTGGAGATCATGAAAGCAAATGTTTGTCTAGCGGAATTTGGTCTGGTGTTACTCCAATTTGTACTGGTGAGTTATTAGGGGAAACATTGTTGATGTAAAACCTGTTATCAAACTATTGGTACATCAGAAAAGATGGAGTAGTACTACAAGGTAGGCATGGCTGCTCTTGATATGAAAAACTAAGCCAGGGCCAGCATCAATAATAGCGGTCAAAATGCATCACTTGTTCTCAGCCATATCCCAGCTGTAGCGACACTATAACTTTGCCTTCACTTCATTTAATTAATTCTCAGGTCAACCAGTTGATAGCTGTTCCTGTGACTGTACAGGTATAAGTGTAAGTTTTGCAGTGACAGCAGTCATCCTCATTGCCATTGTCACATTCCTACTCGGAATGTGCATTCATCACAGAAAGGGAAACCAAATCCACAATGGATCCACAGCAGGTCTACAACAGATCCAAAATGGATCCACAGCAGGTCCACAACAGATCCAAAATGGATCCACAGCAGGTCCACAACAGATCCAAAATGGATCCACAACAGGTCCACAACAGATCCAAAATGGATCCACAACAGGTCCACAACTGATCCAAAATGAATCCACAACAGGTCCACAACTGATCCAAAATGAATCCACAATAGGTCCACAACAGATCCAAAATGGATCCACAACAGGTCCACAACAGATCCAAAATGGATCCACAACAGGTCCACAACAGATCCAAAATGGATCCACAACAGGTCCACAACTGATCCTAAATGGATCCACAACAAGTCCACAACAGATCCAAAATGGATCCACAACAGGTCCACAACTGATCCTAAATGGATCCACAACAGGTCCACAACAGATCCAAAATGGATCCACAACAGGTCCACAACAGATCCACAACGGCGATAAGCTTTGAATTTTTATCCTGTCATGTTAAGGTAGCTGAACTTCATACACTGACGTATATATAAAATCTCAAGACCAATTGTGGCGATTTTCCCCTACTACATAGCATGCGCAAACTCCGCGTGTGTGCAGGGTCGGCAGACCAAATACTGTAGAAGTACGACATATTATAGTAGTGCATTGTGCATGCATGATTACGGTAAAATGTTATGTACAGACTCTGTTTAGATGGAAGTACCGTGTGTAACACGACTAGATAGGCTCCCTTCGCTCGGCAGTAAGCTCCAATGCCTACGCAAAGAGGAAGGGTGTTGTACCACAGAGCCCCCACCTCTTTTTATTCAGCATCACTTGCAAAAGAAAGCACACGACAAAATGACCCTGGACAGTTTACAGTACTGTAGACAGGGTTTGCTAAACAGAGCATGCTGTTTGCAAACTCATGCACAAAAATCTTGATATGTGACCCGCTACGGGAAAACGTACATTTTCGTGCAAAAATTCTAAACCTATTGATAGTAGGGTTTCAGTGTGGTGATTCACCAGTGCTGCCGTGTTTGGACACAGAGTTAATCTGCAAAACAATGCATCTGTCTACGTGGCTAATTTACTTTAAGCGTTTAGCTCCACGCTTATCACAGAATACAACATTTTAACTTCACTACAATATTACAGCTCACAGAACTACTATGCAACTACCATACTAAGTATTAAGTCTAGCAAAAAGCAAAAATCAGCACAATTACAGTTCATTCAGTTCAGAATTTTACAGTGGAAAGTCTTTCCTCCACACGGACTGCCCAGAGTCCACTCCAAACAGGGCGTTTGCTGTGGCGTCACACTGGCTGAGGCGGGTGATCTTGTCATGCCCGACCTGAATCCACTGCCCGATGCAGGGCTTGCGGCAACGGAATATCTCTTCTTTGGTCGATACAGCAAAGATGTCATACGGACCGGAAGTAGTCATGTATTTGAATCCACCACCGAGATGTCGCCATCTAGTCCTGCCATCAACCGCTCGACAGAACAGATGGTTTCCTGAATTGACCCCACACACCTCTCGTTCCCCGCCGTCTATCATCTTGAGACCTCCATCCACCCTCTTCCAGCTCGCACCTCCATTGCACGGTTTCGTGCACTTGAAGATGTGATGGCGACTGTTCGTCCCCCACACATAGCCGTTGCCCGAGGCTGAGACGTGAATAAGTTTCCCAGGAATGTGCCTCCACTTTCCACTGCCATCAACAGGCCGGACAAATATGTCGTGATTTTTATTCACACCCCAAACAAATTCATCGTCTACATCGAGCTGGACCAATGCTCCGTCGATTATTTTCCATGCACCTGTACACGGTCGTGGGCACAGGTAAATTTTATTCTCCTTGTCGAGTCCCCAGATGTAGTTGAGGTTTCCGGATACTTGGACCAGACCTCGTGGAATCTGGGTCCAGCCTTGTCCATCCACACATGAGTGACAGGTAACACCCATTACCATAAGAATCACAGTGATTTTAAACATGATTAGCTTCTTGCTCTTTGTCGTTCAATTCTGTAGGTTTCGATGCCTGTTTTGTGACAGTAGGTGTTACTTTTATACTGATAGATTGTTTATGATCACGACTCCCTGAAGCTAGAATGTTGTAAAATACCGCACGAAATGAATTATGTTCATGTTTTGTTCAGTATAAGTATGTGCCACCAAGCTAATATGGTTTGTTGAATATACAATTTTGATGTATAACTTCAAATTCATGTGGAATCTTGGACCTAACATGAGGAATTTAGGAGAGATGCATGGTGAATTTATCAACATTTTACTCCACTGATATGCACATTAGTTTGTTAATCACTGAGTCAGATGCAATGCACATGCACACACAAAATAGTTCTTATTCGTCACCTGTTTGGTCGAAAGGCAGTTCGTCTTTATAATATTATAGCTGCACAGTTGCGGTGGACAGCATGGCACGCATGCGCACGCGATATGAGGGCGGGGCAGCTCGCGCGATCCTGGGTGTGGCTATGAGCGAACGCATGGAACAAAGATGCTCAAAAGAAGGCACCAACGGGTCTTCTGCCTTCACGTTAGAGTGCTGCGAGTTCTGTTTATCTCTGCCGCCGTCACGTTTGTGGGATCTGCACTCTACTTCGACTACATGTCACAGTTTGTCTCGGTGCCAGCTGATACCAAATCAAAGGACGAGTGGGAATGGGAGTTTCTGCATGTCCATCGCTCATTTCCGCGCTGGAGACTGTACGGAGCAGCGTTTATTGGCGAGGCTTATTCAGGTCAAGGTATTAAACGGGGGCCAAATCGCCGGCGAGACGGAACGATAAAGTTGTTCTCAACCACAGGAGACACCCACGTCCAGCGACTGGTGGAGGGGCTGCACAATCTGCAGATTTCCTGCCACGAACGCCCACAGAGCGAACAGCAAGAACTGCGGCAGAATTATGCCAAATTCCTGGAAGCCCTTTCGATGTACACCGCGTTTCACAAACATGAGAGGGGGAGAAAGGGCGCGAGGCGACTAGTGTGGGTCTGCGACGCCTACAGAAAATGCGGGGGCCTGGCCGATCGAATTAGAGGAATCACCTATGCCCTCATACTGTCGATTCTATCACGGAGGGTGCTTCTTTTAGATTGGAGCAATCGATTGTTTGGAGAGCACGAGTACTTAGATCCGAACCTAATCAACTGGCAACTAACACAAGATGAAAGAAAGCGAGCTTATCGAGATGGAAATTTGGGGTCAACTAACCTTACCAACAAACCCCAAACTCCAGGTGATTCTGTGGCACTCATTCACATATTTCAAATTCATGCTGGCATTGGAATTGATGTTTCTGCGGAGGACTTGCGGAGAAACCTGGAAGCACTCAGGGGAACCTGGGCTTGGATCTTGCTGGAGAGCAACATGGAACCCAGTACTCTAGTGGATGACACAAAGACTGGATCGCTAGAGTGGATAAAGCAAGGCATGGCCGGTCTGGGGCTCCACAAACTCACACCAAACGACATTGACAATATTGTTGGACTCGTCTTTCGATACCTCTTCAGATTCTCAGAGGAGATACTGAAAGAGGTTGCAACTGCCAGAGAAGTGCTCGGGCTCATAGACACGACTTACGTTGGTGTCCATGTGAGAACAGGCTTTGCAGGCTCATCCAAACAGGAGTACAACCACCCAAAGCTCTATCGTGAAGCTTGGCAATGGGACAGAACCCTCTCCTGTGCCTACAACTACACGACAGAGCAACTTGGAGAAAAGGCTCTACTTTTCCTGGCCACCGACTCGAACTTGGTCAAGAGCAAAACCCACTGGTTTGGAGGTCGATATAGGTGTCTGGACAACACGGTTGTGCATTTGGACCATTTGAAAAAGACTCCGCACAAGGCAAGCATTGTCGAGAGAGAAGGGGTGTTGACCATGTTGGTTGAACTCATTCTGTTGGCAGAGTCACACAGCATAGTAATGGGTGAATCAGGATTCTCATTTCTCGCCCGTAGCCTGTGCCTCATCCCCAGAACTAAGACAATAAACGGGTTGACTTGCAACCCTCTTGATACATAGTAAACCTTCACTTATAATCATGATCCCCTCAGCTACTATATAACCCTCCTCCCTTGATTCACAATCTTCATCATTATTGTAGTTCTGGATTCAATTTTTTTATCAGTATATACACCTCACCTGGTAGAAGTTACAGTCAAGGTAGCTAGTTGTGATGACTGACATGAATTTTTCCATGATCCATGGTTACATAGACGTAGTGTATATTCCAGGGTTCTGTAGAAGCAATTACTTCATAGGTATAATACCCTAGAAATCATGTATTTGAGCAAAAAATGAGTTCCCCCTATCATCCAAACCTACACTGTTTCCAAGACGGTTAGCAAGTGTCTGTCATTTGGTTTTTGCGCATGCGCGGACTTTGTAATTTACGCGGTTAGGTCAAAGGTCAACAACTGGTCCAAGCGAGTCACGACCAGTCATTCGCGAGCACGCACTACACACAGCAGTCAAGAACACTATAAAACCCGGCTTTTGTGCAGTTGCCAGTAGAGAGTAGGGCACAGACCAAGGTATGGAAGCAAGCAGATTGCAATTGTCTGGTAGTTTCCGCAGCGGCGAAGTCTCCCACGGGGCAATCAAAGGACATCGCAGGCCTCCAGCGACTGTAGTTTCGCCGACAACCCAAGGCCAGCTAGGTCCCCTGTTTGACCTGAACGTCAGGGACTATGTGAGACTCTTAGTCTGCACCGGCTGCGGGTTCGTCTTTGGAATAGCTGCCGAAAAAGCGAGAGGTTCGCTCCCCACCAGCTGTAGCCAAATAGCTAGTGAAGCCTTAGACGTGCAGCCTGCCTGGCCTTGTGCCCAGGTGCAATAATCCTCCCAACTTTTAGCAGAAACTTGCGTCGTTTGACAATGAGTTTGCTCTTGTTTACAGTTCACGTGCCCTCCGTCATCCAGCAGCAGATGCTGTTTGCTCAAAACTCGATGTTGAAGGCATTCCTCGCGGCGGTCACCTCTTGTGAGCCAATTTCTTGATGATTATGCATCAGTTAGTAAATTCCCTTTTTTGTGATGCTGAATTACAGCTGTTGCCATGTTCTCGATCCTCTACCTGCTACCTTCTACTCGTGGACTCTTTCATCAGGTTAGCAACTTGTTCATGGTGCCTTTCTACCTCGTTTCAAGTGTGGACATGCACATTGTGGGTGTTTTTTGTATCTACTACTACTGCATCAGTAGTAAATTTGGCCAAATAAAAACAGCATGCCATGCAAACACTATTTATAATCTTCACAGTCGTGCATATATAGTACCATTACTCAGCAACCTCTGCTAATCTAAGACAGTCTGTGTGTGCCTGTAATACATGTCTGTGTGAATGCTACGTATGTTGCAGGTGAGGGTGGAGTTTGGTGGGTGTGTCAGTGCCAAGAGAGTGGTTGCATTTGCCACTGGAGGTGTCATTCTGGGCATGGGCATGACCGTCTCTGGAGCTGTAAGTTTGAATTACGCACTAACTATAGCAAGAAACACATTAGTGGAGTGTCACCTACGGGACCAGTGTGTCCAGTTTTATATTAATGAGCAACTCTGTGTCGAGCTGTATTGATGCTCAATGCAAGTATAGTAATGCCAGTGTCCTGCAACAAAGTAAATAGTCCAAAAAAGTATGTGGCGTTCAGCATAATTGAGCTAGAGTGTTTTATAAAGTAGCTGCGTTAGCCACATGTGTTATTTAGGCATGTATGTATTTATTACAAGATATGCCTTGTGTTCTATACTTACCAACAGGGGTGGGAATTTGGCGCTATTGCGCCCAAGATAGCGTCAGGTGGTTTTAGTGAGCGCCAAGCCAGACCAACCCAGCCCAGCGCCAGCAGCAACTGCATAGCGAACAGTACAGAGCATGCACATCCCCGTGTATATGCGCGTGAGGGCGCACGTCCTAAGTGTGGGGACTCCGCTACATGATTATCTGCCTGCCGGCATGTAAAAATGTCTGTCCACCTTTATGCGCTGGCACTAGAAGCGCCAGAAGAGCTCTGGGCGCTAATTTTTTGGCGCCACAATAATTTTGTGCAAACCCCATGTATATACCAACCTTTTGTCAAGTAGCATGCATATCTTTTTATGGCTCTGTATTGTTAGTGCTATGTACACATTGTCTCTACTACTTCCAGTGTCCAGGAATGGTTGTGGTACAGGTTGGCTCTGGACAGGAGAAAGGAAGTGAGTTTTATATCTATCACATACTGTGCTCTCACTCTGTTCATGACCCACCAGCATTTTCAAAACGTCTGGTGTATAAAAATAACAATTTTTGACTAGAGTATTTCAGTGAAATAAAATGTCTGTCTCTCGCTAGTCAACCAAGAATTTTCAGTATAATAAAAGGGTTGCCTATCATTTAGTGGTACCAAGCAAGTGTATGGGTACGGCATTTCTAGTGCGCGGAGGGTTTGATCTTCAGTGCTTTTCATTTCCTTGTGACTCCATGTGACTCCACAGTGGTAACTCTGCTGGGGTGTTTCACTGGAGCTCTGGTGTACGGAGTGGTGGAGCCAGTTCTGAGGCGACACATCACCAACAAGTCACGTTCTCACTTGCTCAAGTCCATTTGGTAATAAATGATCTCCGAGTCACTTTGTGTGTATAATTAGAGGAAGCCCTCTCCTTATGAGTGTTGCTAGAGACTTCCAGAGAGAGAAAACTTTGCAAAATGCAGCAAACACTTCAACAGATAGCTTTGTTCTGATAGATGGAAAAAATGTTAGAAAGAGCATTTTTAAAAATACATTTAAATACAACAGTTCCACGAAACTGGCATTGACACATTGTAGGCTAAAGCGTATGGTGCTTTTTCACTGGTAACTAGAGTTGTGTGTTCCTCTCACAGATGGACCGATATTGGGGGTCCCTACATCCTACGGCAGTGGGTCTAGACTTATACTGACTGGAGACCATAGTGTTGGAGTTGAGAAACGGGTTCCCTGGACTACCGACTCTGTCCCAGTAAGTGTGTATTCATGCATCAAGATAACACATGACTATTATAGTAGTGGTTATGATGTATGATTAGAGGGAATGAGGGCTTAATTTAGAAACTGTTACTGAAAATGGAAACTTCTTGCACTGGGCCCTCTTGTTTACAGTTCTGCCTTTAGTAATATTTCTTAATTTAGCCCTTACATTATACTGACACATTCCCTTTTAATTTTGATCCTTCTGTTCTGTTGCACCTGAGCGTGAGTGGTCTGACTTTGCAGTGTACATATATAGTTCTTTGCATCTTTGGAACGTATTGTTAGTTTTTCTCTCCTCCAGGTATCACCACCAGCCACAGGACTATTGGCCCAGAAGTCGTGGTCACCTATTATTGCAGGTAAGGTTGTAGCTACTCAAAATTAATGCTTCCTATTTTAATGCTTGTCAGTCTATCACTGAATGGGCTGTGTAGCTGTGTACAGCAGAGTGTCGTGGGTTCAAATCCCACCCAGACAGCTCTTCTTTTTTCCTGGAAAAGAAGAGCTGTCCTGGGTGTAGTTGACTTGTTTGCTTTGCCTTACCTTTCTACCTCGATACCTAGTCGTTGAAACACATGTACAGTGGAACCTGCGAGTAATGAACATGTTGGTTTGTCCTCTATTGTCCTCTCCTTGGAGGTTAAAGTGATACTTGAATGGTATTATATTGGAAAGTGAATGTTTGGGCTCCCAAAAGTGTGTCTTTCATTGCTATTGTGTTGTTCATTCAGAGTGTCCTTTATCGGAAGTCCCACTATAATAATAATGGAGATTCACTGAGCACTCATTGTTCGCTTTAGCCCTTGCATTCATCCTTTACTATAATTGGCGAGCGGGAGCGAGCTAACCTAGTAGTACGAACGGCGTGATTTTTCTATATTATATTTATTTATTTATATACGACCGCGTACGTTGTCCACGCGCTTCTTTTTATCCGAAAAACATTTCAAATTTTTACACCGTATATTTCTCGTGTATATAACTCAATCACACTTTCTGCGATGGATCGGCCTAGAGAAGATGCCCTTCGTCGTCGACGAGAAAGGGAAAGAGAACGTCGTGCCAGTGAGACTTCTGAGCAAAGAGAGGCTCGTCTTTCTCGACGGCGACTGCGTGATAGGGAACGGGCAAGGCAATGCCTGGCCACGGAAACAACGGAACAAATAGAAGCACGACTAGCGAGAAGTCGTGTACGAGCAAGAGCTACACGTGCTGCGGAATCAGAGGAAACGCAACAGGCAAGGCTCCAACAGATCCGAAGACAAGGTGAATTGCCGCCAAGTCTGCCGAGGAGAGAGAGGGTCGACTACAGTTACTACACAGGAATCAACAGCTTTTTTACGTATGCACACAATCGTTAGATCGCTCCCGCTCGCCAAAAATACAGTGCATTCACCTACTAGTATATCAGATAATGTTAGCGTGTGTTACCTAACCATAACCCCTATCTGTCTCTCTTTCTCTCACTTTTGCAGGTCTGGTCATGGGCTCGATGCAGCTTCCGGTGGCCCTAGCAGTGAGAGACAGTCTCGGAGGGAGCAGTTCCTACTGCACCCTCCTCTCTCACAGCAGCAGAAGACTCTCCCAAGTCCTCCCGTACTTCTCCTCCTTCAGTCGAGGTGGCCTCTCCTCATGGTGGCAGGTAACTATATAGCTAAAGCTTCCACATGTTAGGCCATCAGTGAGGAAGATGTTGGACATGTATATTATTGTGCAGAGGATAAATTTTCTGCTGTTAGCTATTTGTTTGTTAGTGACAATGTGCTTTGAAAGGTCATGCCACAAGTATATTTATACCCACTTCTAGGCCACTAGACCTCTGAAAACACACAGTGACAACTCTGCCCCTCTTATATACCACTGCATAATATGAGCTAGCATTACATAATATGATAGTGGGGCTTCCAAGTGTTTGCCAATTTAATATCAATACTTATCGATGTGAACATTCTGATAGGTGTTCTACTGGGGAGGAGCAGCAGGTGGGGCAGCTCTCTCTGCCCACATGTCAGGTAGGTAGCTATATTATACACCACATGAACAATGGTTTGAAATCACATCTGGCCCTGTAGGAATGTGGGGAGTGTCAACAGATATCTCAAGTTCGGTAGCTTTTATTGGAGGAGTACTGATGCTGTTTGGAGCCAGACTTGCATCTGGATGTACAAGGTAAAGTTTCGTGCACTATAGAGGAATAATGTTAGGCCCTGTGTGGTTGAACCAAAAGCTAAGGAGAACATTAATCGCATTGACTGAAATTGTTTTTTTGTTTGTTTTGGCAGCGGACATGGGCTGTCGGGACTGGCTCTTCTCTCTCTGGCCTCGTTTGTGGCTGTGCCTGCCATGTTTGCTGGTGGTATCTCCCTAGCCTTCGCCAGAAAACTCCTTTTTTGACGCAACACACTTCACATGCAGCTAGATCACTGATTATTACTCATTTATTTATAATTTAATGCGAGTAATAGCTACTTTTAGCTATAATTGGCGAGCGGGAGCGAATGGTTCAAAAGGCGCGATTTATATTATACACGTCCGTCCGTACGTCGTGCTATTGCGCATGTGTCAGAATTGCGCGATTCTTTTTTTCCGTCAAATTTTTTACACGCTCTTGCTGCTAGCTCGATGCCGAGCCAGGGAGAGAACTCTTGTCCATTCGGCGGCATTCGCTGAACTCTTTGGTGCCTTACCGAGGCTTGCAATCTTCGTGGTTCCAAGCTGCAAGTTGTAAATAGCCTAGGTTGGCTCGTGCGGATATAATCATTGTGTGCTCGCTCCCGCTCGCAAAAAATGCCGTGCATTCGCCTACTAGTATAAATATGCCAGTAGCTATAATGGTGTATATACTGAGTGCAAACCTTCCGCGGCGAACTGGCGCACTCGCTGTACCGCAGTGCAAACCCTCGGCGAACTGCGCATGTGTGGTACCACTAATTCATGGGCTGGGCTTTGTATCCCTTTACTCGTGGTAACCCGCTAGTCGGGCATGCTGGCCGATAAACGCCCTTCGTTGACTTCTTGTGCCTAGGTATATACACAGAGCATGCGGACCCGGTCGAGGTAAGCCTGTGCTAATTTGCATATTGGCTTGTACACTTGGTTTTCATGCCATAGCTTCTGAACGCATGCTCAAGGAATACGCGCTTCTTTTTATCCGAAAGGATTTCAAAATTCTCACATGCGGCCTGCCGTGTCGTAATGTCAGGGCCCGGGCAGTGAATACGCGTGTGTGTAGCTCTGTACTCTCGCACTCGTGGATCAGTCCAGAGAAGATGCCCTTCGTCGTCGAAAAGAGAGGGAAAGAGAACGTCGTGCCCGTGATCCTGAGCAGAGAGGGCTCGTCTTTATCAGCGTCGCTTGCGTGCTAGGGAACGGGAAAAGGAACGCCTCACCACAGAAACAAGGAAAGCTGTGCGCTGACGGCACGTTATACAGCCCGAACATCGCGGGCAAATCCCAAGTTGGGTCGCTCCCGCTCGCCAACAATGTTCAACACTTCCACTAGTAATTGGCGAGCGGGAGCGAGCCAACCTAGTCGTCGCAACGGGCCGATTTTATATCGTTGGTACGTCGTGTAAATACGCATGCGCGGCATTGTACGCGCTTGTTTTTATCCGGAACTATTTCCAAATTTTTACACATTTTCCCACACGGTGCCTCACGATATGCGCCGATCGATCTAGCCAGCGAGAGAACTCTCCTCTATTCAACGGCATGCGCTGCAACCTTCGGTGACTGACCGAGGCTGTATAAACCTCTTCCCAATCTTCATGGTTCCAAGGTGCAACTTGCAAATGCGCTAGGATTGCTCGTGCACATACTGCTGCACGCCAGCTCGGGTGGACCACGACTGACGAGCTGAAAGCGTATGTAAGGTAAGTATATACCGTTCTGCTCACCTGCTCACCGTTCTGCCAATGTACTTACAACAGCGACAGGTAGATCTGTGTTGCTTCGAAAGGAAAGCTGTGCGCTGACGGCACGTTATGCAGCCCGAACATCGCGGGCAAATCCCAGTTGGGTCGCTCCCGCTCGCCAACAATGTTCAACATTTCCACTAGTTATACGGACTGGTCTAATAGTACGTATTTTTATTCTATCCCGGTCGCTAGTAGCTCGCGGTGCCTCACGATATGCTCTAGCCAGCGAGAGCACTCTCCTCTATATTCACATCACACAGTCACTGAGACCGTAGCGGTGTATACCTCTTCCCAATCTTCATGGTTCCAGGTGAAACGTTTGCAATACGCTAGGATTGCTCGTGCACACAGCTGCTGCACGCCAGCTCGGTGGACCGACTGACGAGCTGTGACGAGCATCTGCTAACCCGACCTGCACTAGACTGGACAGGACGTGTTTCCAGCTCTTTTCACCGCTAGTGCAAATTCGCCCATGCCAAGATTAGCAACAGTTGTGCGTGGGCCCCCGCCCCCGGGGGGGTATGTTTCAGATATTTTTTCAATGCACAGCAAAACGCGGGTGTTATGGATGAATTTAGGTATATTTTTCGGATTTTTCCTACCATTGTTTTCAAACGTATTGAGCATATTCATATTCCTCCAATACATTCTCAGAAACTCGTGCGCGACTCACCCAGGAGCGAACGGTCCGTCTCCATTATGCGCAATGGCGTTCTTTCTGCCTCCTGCGGCACGCGCAGGCGTATTAGAGCCATCTCGAAAAATGGGCGTGGGCACTTTTTGAGAGGAGCATAAATTGCGCATAATGGAAGAATCCAGGAGTATAATCAGAGTTTCTATTTAGCATAATGCCTCAGCCTAGTATATACTTGTGGGTCTCTTCAGGTGCGCATGCGCAATGAATTCTGTCACGGATCGCTCGGCACTCTCGCTGCGCGCGAGTACAAAGGTTTGCAGAGTAGACAGGAGTACTCTGGCATGATTCTACGTGCGTCAAAGGTCTAGTGTACGGACGCAAAAGCCTTGCAGAGAGAGAGAGAGAGAGAGAGAGAGAGAGTGAGAGAGCCGTATTACTTGGGCGGTTTTACGTGAGGCGTGAGGTCAATCCTGGAGGGCGCCCCCGGCTTTTTGAGGATCATTACCAAGTCGCGTAAAACCGTGCCACTGTAAGAGTCGTCCCTTTCTACTAAACGGGGATGACGCGGTTTTTAAATTAACTTTAACATGGGTTGCAACCTGCGTAAGAAAACTCATGCATGATGGGATCATGGTCGTGGATCGATCTCCATCATGTCACCTCCGTGGAACAAGGTCCACCTTCACCGCAACCTCTCAGACTCAATGGATGTGGCTTGCTCAGAAGGCCACATCTCTACCAGGACTGA